CGAAAAGCTCCGTTTCCGTGACGGATTAGTGTGGACGGTAGGCCTAACCGTAGAAACAAAGCTGCGTTTTCAAATTCCTCCGGCCTAGTGTGGACGGGGCCTTTGTGATCAACGACTTCAATGACTTGGAAAACGAAAACATGAGCACTGACACGCCAAGAACCTTTGGCTTGGTTTTAGTAAGTTTAAGCTCAGTATTGATTTTCGACATTGTGAGTCAACTTACTGGCACAGAGCTTGTTCGTTTGATCGGAGTTTCAAATTAAAATAAGTTAATACTTATGAACTGAATGACTATCTTGTTCCTTTGTTTGCGTTAAAAACTAAAACACTATTAGGTTCTATGCTGAGCATATGCCTACTTAGATTTTACATCTTTCATCTCCACCAAAAACTAAATGCTAAAACGTTTTAGCAGTCAAAGGAAAACAAACAAAACAAAGGATTCGTTCACAGATCATTTGAATGGTGCAAGGATATCATTTCACACAAGGAATTAAAAGTTAAAACTACATTGTATAGCATGACAAACACAACCACCTGTGAGCCCTGCTCACTAGCTTTGATCTAAATGGTTACACGCTAGGGTTTCACCCGGAGACAAAGCTAAAACCACCTTGTACAGCATAATAAACAGTACCACATTAAAGTGCTGCTCATTAGCTTTCTTTTGACTGGTCACACACTCTAGGGTTTTATCCACAGACTTAAAAGTTTAAATCACTTTGTACAGCATAATAAACAGTACCACATGAAAAGTACTGCTCAGTAACTTTCATTTCACTGTCACGGGCTAAAACTTCTTCCATAGCTTTAAAGGTTGAAACCACCTTGTAGGCAAATTTGAAAGCATTACAAAGTGCTAATCAATAAATTATTTTAGTGGCTGCAAACATGATTCTATGATAACTCCTCACTGCTTATACCTGACCATCAGTTTATCTTTAATTTTAACTCGATATAACGCTACACCTCTTTCCCTTCCTTTCCTGCAGCAATTTTTTTAAGCCCTTCTAGCCGGGGTTTCTCGCTGCTTAAATGATCAATGCCGTCTTGTAATTTGTCCTTGACCCATTCCTTGACCACACTTTCGTCGTAGACGAGACTGAAGGCTTTATTTGCCTCCGACTTTAACGATGTTAGAATCTGTAACCCACTGAAAACAAGACAACACAACAGTCTTTAAGTCTCTTAAATTGTGTGAACAATACCCACAGTGTTAGGGTTAGGTGCGGCTAAATGCGGCTTCAGAGCGCTGTCAGGCGAAATTTTACATTGGGGGGAAATGAAAGGTCGCGACAGCTTGTAAAGCCCTGTGGAATTAGGCAGCCGACAAAAAGCGCGGGAAAGTATATGAGCAAGGCGCGATTGGTTTTGGTTTTACTTCTGATTGGACAAGAAAGTGGCACGTGATTTTAAAACCAATCACAAAGCGAAAAGCGTTACAACCAAACATCGAGTAAAAAGCACTCTAGTTAGCTTATCATTAAAACCGGCGTTTGGCGGCAGAAATGATTCATGGGACACCACAGGAATGTGATAACATAGCGGTACTTACTGCACAGTCTTGTTGTATGCGCTTTCCACTTGATAATAACTTAAAAACTTGTTTTCCACTTCCCGCTCCAACAGCCAACCTTGCTGTCTAAAGGAAGAGAGTGAAGACAAACACGTTAACGGCTAAAAGAGCATTTTTATAAAACAGCGATAAACACAACCCTAAAAACGTTAACAATCGATGACACTCGTAGAGTTTCATTTACTTGTTTACCTCAGCTAAATATTGCTTTAAAGTTTCTGGTAGAAACCAGGTGAAATTACAATTACAATTTCATAACTGTGTTCCCCATAAAAATGGCTTAACAAGGCATGGCTTACAAGACTGGACTAATTTTGTCCGCGCATAGCTTACACACATAAGCCAAATTTTTAATCAGAAGTGCTCCGCGAAATCCACACGCATAGATTGGAAATGCTTGCTCAGGAGTTCATGCAATAAATACTGGTTATTAGGTAAGAACACTGACCTCAAGAGAAACTCAATGTGTTGAGTATTTGTCCACAAACTGTGACCTAAGAGCTCACTGTTTGCGCTGAGAGGTTAGGACCTCTACAGTCTGGCCAAAAAGCTCCACACAGAGCTGTTTTCTGTAGCACGACGTGTTCGTGTAATTTTAAAGTATGTTGTCAGCTTGGGTGAGGAAATGCACTGTAAGAGTAAAGTGTCTTGCCTAAGAACGCAACACGGTGACCCAGGTCAGGGCTCAACACCTATAACAGCTTGATCAAGTGCCTAACACGCTAAAATAAGGTAACTTACATATTTTTGACACCCCTTGTATCATAAACCGCCTTCTCCAGGTGACCTACGAGACTGAAAATTTCATGTCCTAGAAACGTTCCGTCGGGCGGTTGATACCTAAAGGCAGGAAACGAGAATGAAAAGGCAATAACTCAAAATCGAAATTAGAAATCATCTATCCCCTTGCAGATTACCTTGCACTGAGTATCCTCTCGACGAAATTAATGTAATTATTACAAAGTCCAAGTGTAGTTAGAGAGAATTTGGCCTTTCTAGGTTGCTTGCAAAAGATGGCTAAGAAATGAACGATGATGTATAACGAGCTTGTAGAATCACTGAAATCGCTAACTATGACGTATTGTTGAGCTATGTACTTTCTGCTTTTGCCGTCGTTTGCGTCTGACGAACTCATCGCTGACAAAGGCTGTTGTAAAGACGTTACTCGGTAACAAGCAACATATAGCTGGTATTTTTTGTGCACTCTGCCTAAAACAACAACGTTCAAATCTGACACAGAAGTTCATAGAAAATCGACTGGAGACATAAGTAGCTCATTTACTCTTTATTTCTTCAAGTCACGTCAAGTCATCTTTATTTAGGCAGGGTAGCCCCTTCAGCCATAGGCTGGTATCAAAAGGGGCCCTGCGTAAAATTAAGAGTACATGATAAAAAATTCAGAAATTAAAAATTACCTCAAAGTTATGTACAAAGAGTTTAACAATTTGATGGAAAATTGTAAATTATAGAGCAGTCGGGAAACTTTTTTTTTTACATTGCCGCAGATTCTGAGAAGCAATGCCGTTGAAAAAAGTCGTAGAACAGTAGTTCTTCTGCCTAGTAAACAATTTTCATTTACCAGACGACTGTTTTCAACAGCATTGCTTCTCAGAATCTGCCGCAATGTAAAAAAAGCTTCCTGACTGATCAATAATTTACAATTTTCAATCTAATCAAATACTAAATACAAGGAAATTCTTGCAATGTTGTGTCTTAACAACACTCCTCTCCTCTCAGTAATTAGTTACACTTACGTGGGAGGAAATCTCTTCACATTGATATCAAACGTTTCAGGCAAGCCAAGTTCTTTAGCTGTGGCTTTTATTTCTTCCTGATCCAAATAACCTAAAAAGATGAAGGATATTAAAATCATGTACGGATGAAAATACTGCAAGCGGTTCTGGCTAAACCAGCAACGAATCTATACGGAAACTACCCATCATTTCTATCTGACAATCATTGCATTTTGCAACTAGGAATTCAGTCAATAAACCAATAAATACTAAACAATTATATCGTTTTCTTTTTCTCATGATATTCAGAATAATCAAGGGCGAGATAAGTGTTATCAGTTGCAGGCAAAGTATAAGGCAAAAGCTCAATTCAAAATTTCTCTGCTGATCAAACCGGACAGGGTTTTTTCCTAAAAGAGCAAGAACATAAAGCCACTTAAAAAAAATAATAAATAATAAAAAAAATAACGCCACTTTAATACATAATAATAAGCTTTTCCCACCCAGACACAAACAACGTTGGCAAATTTGCCATTTTTGAATCCTTTAAATTTCACAATTTCTATCAAAGTTAAAATTACTTCTATTACACGTTTGTAACACTAGACGTGAATTTGACTCAAATTTATGTTAAGGAGGCTTTGAAAAAATGTCTACAGGCTAAACGTTCGCTGATTGCAGTTCGTTTTGATACACACTTAAAATATTACCGCGATATTATCCTTGTAACTTTTTCGTTTATCGTGATTTCTTCAGCGTTTTTCAACCTTAAAAATCTATCACCACTACTAAGGTTCGTTCACTTTCAAGTAACTTTGTCCATCACAGAACATGACCAAATCAAAGGAGTTCAGTCGCGCTATTTTGATCACGTACAAAATTACCGTTAAACTGAAGGAAACCTGAAAATAGTAGTTTACTAGGATAGAAAAACTCCAAGGAGACAATACTAAACCATTACGGAACAAGGATGGTTGACGATGGAGCAGACGGACACGGATTACAAACGACGAACATAAAAATTTGGGCTAAACGATTCAAAATACGCAAACCATTGACTCATTGAATAATAACTTGCTCGGTATATATCTTACCTGTGCGCAAGGCGTGTAAGCAGTAAGCTAACGAAGGAATGGCTGCCGGAAGAAGCTCGCACAAAGTAGCATAGTGGTCATACCTAATCAATAAAATAAAATTATGAGAGGATTGTTTTGCATCCGAGATTTCAGGGCCTTATTTTCGATGGGCTAACTAAAAGGTATTCTGTCATCCCATCTAAGATAGCTGCACAAAAAGGTCCTTGGACACTGTCAGATATTTGTCCCAAAAAGCCTGTGAACAGGCTCTCTAGTCGAGATGGGGAGAAGAGCAAGCGGGAGAAGAGCAAGCGGGAGAAGAGAGAGAAGAGAGAAAGAGAGGGGAGGGGAGACGCCAAATCCCAACCATACAGTACATGTACCTCCCTCGCCCACTTCAATCTCAGCCAGTTCGTTCTCGGCCCTTCCAGCCGCCTTTAGACCCTTCCAGC